TGCATAAGGACTGGATGACCATTTGTCAGCAATACCATAGAAGACATAAGATCATAGATTTCAAGCCATTAGAGATCATCTACTCCTACTCTCTCACTTCACAGAAGGGGAAATAGAGGCTCAGAAAGGTTAAGACAATTGCCCGAGAGCCCACAGGGTCAGAGCAGGGATTTGAGACAATGCTTTCTGATTCTAAGTCCATCCTCCTTCCCTCTATACTATGCCCCCTTCCCTAGTATTCTGGGGAGTCAGTAAATAAACATTTAATAAGCACCTACTATGTGCTAGGCACTGTGATAAGTGCTACATCAGATAGCTAGAACAAATGACCTCTGAGAAAAATCACCTTTCTTTTCAAAGTTGAGGGGGATGGAAGTTGTGGTGGGGAAAATACAGAAATAAATGGTGTTTCAGGGTGGCTGAAACTGAATTCTTTAGGATCTTCTGTCTTTACTTCTGCTGGTTAAGTTTCGTCTCTTCACTAACATTGACATCAGAAACCAAGATGTGGATTTCTGCCCTGGAAATTAACTATGTTGTGATGGAAATGATTTCATTAGAGTTTGAAGATGTCAGACACAGCTGTGTAGTATGAGTTAAGGATAGAATGGGAAGGGCTTGAGGTGGAAAGTGGGATGATATGCTTGTGAGTATTCAGTAGTGTATACCCAAGAGCCCTCATGTCTGAAACTGTCGGTGAGCCTTCCACCTCCTCCAATGTCTTTTCTCTGGACAAGGTAGATTTCCTCTGGTGCCTACTTAACAGTGGCAGATTTTGGGTTATTTTGATACATTGATGGATCTATAATCTCATAACGTGGGTACTCCCTCCAGTGTTGCAGATCCAAACATGCCTGCCCATCCAGAGGGACATTTGTTCATATCCTCAAATCCTTCGTGAAAAAACTATCCAACCTGCCTAGAGAACCTATGTTTACATCATTTGGGGAATACCAGAAGACCTCAAGAGTTCTCCACAGTTAATTCTCCCCCTCCTTTTATTTTTTCTCACTTCCACTTTTTCATTTATGATTTTTTTCCCCTCACTTTTTCCACAGATGTCTTCCTTTAACCAATTCCCTGACATCTTTCCTTGGTAATACATCAATGCCTGCTCACTCCCACCACGTGCCTTCCCATTATCCTTTAGGGAATTCACAACCTCATTTCTTTGGAGATTGTGGTAAGCCTCGACTCACCCAACATTTTGGTAACTCTATAAAAAGACACGATTTTCATCATTAAGGGCACAATTCTTCTTTAGTAAAAATGACATTTATTTCTGTGTGGTTGAAGACTGGAAAATCACTGGTTTTCTAGGGAAAGGAAAAAATGTCTCCTTGAGGGAAAAAAAAAAAAATATATATATATATATATATATATATATATATATATATATATATATATATATATATTAAACTAGTCACACATAGCATTTAATTCTAAAGAGAGCAGAGTGAGAGGGGGATGCAATGTTCTAAAGCTTTTTTCATTATTTCTATTGCGTTGTGTTTATTTACACTCTGGTTTCCTTGTTTGAGGATTGACAGGTGAGTAAGTATTTCCCAGAAATTTGAAGTCAGTCACATGAAGCATAATGTCTGAGCTTTGATTTCATTCTAGTTTGAATGCTCTGTGGGTCTTTCTTCTCTTGACTTTCTTTCTTTCTTTTCAGTTTTCATTTATTTGTTTGTTTGTTTTCCAACATTCACTTTTATAAGATTTTAGTTCCAAATGTTTTTCTCCCTCCCTTCCCCCCCACCCAAGACTGCAAGCAATTTGATATAGGGCATACATGTACAATCATATTAAACATTTGCATATAATTGACTTTCTTCTTATATGAAATAGTGGCTGTCCTCTGTGATAATGAGAGACTCAATCATTTCTGTTAGGAAGATTAGGTTGAGTACTTTCTTACACCAGGGATAATCTGATGAAAATCCACATTTCATCTTCCATCTTTGTACCTCTGCATTGGCTGTGCCCCGTGACTAGAATCTATTTCCTCCTCACCTAAGATTGAGTTTCCTTCAAAACTCAGCTCAGTTGCTCCCTCCTACATGAGGTTTTTTCTGACCCCTCCAGCTACTAGTGCCTTTCCCTACAAATTACCTTGTATTAACTTTGTATATATTTTGCATACAAGAGGCAAATGGATAAAGCTAGCCTCAAAGTCACAGGGACTTAAGGTTGAGTACCATCTTTGATGCAAGCAGGCATTGCAATGCCAGTACAAATTGCTTAATCTCTTGGTGCTCTAGGTAATTATTAACACTAGAGAAGGTGCCAACACACAACAGTAGAATCTTCTTATCCACAAATTCACCTGAATATACTATTGAAATCAGAAAGGCAATTCCTCTCCTTCTGCCCGTATTTTGGAAATACTTATAATGTACAAGGATTTTTCTTCAAGACCATAAACACTCTGAAAGGGAATATTTTATTTTTGTCTTTGTATATATTTTTTCTTTGTACCTGGTATTTAATAATCACTTAACCAAGTGTTTATTGTTGGGTTACATGCCCTACTACTATGCAGGAGACTCTTGTTAAAGAGCACGTCACACGGGGCAGCTAGGTGGCGCAGTGGATAGAGCACTGGCCCTGAAGTCAGGAGGACCTGAGTTCAAATCTGGCCTCAGACCAAACACTTGACACTTACTAGCTGTGTGACCCTGGGCAAGTCACTTAACCCCAATTGCCTAAAAGCAAAAAAAAAAAAAAGAGCACATCACAATACTTTGCTACCACATTGAACAAAAACCACCCTTAAGCCTGCTCACGTCACAGAAGAAATGTAGGCACGTTTTACTTGAATCAGTTCGGAAATATGAAAACCCAGATTCATAAAGTCAATTTGAGAGTGATTATTTGCTCTTTGGTATAATTCTTTTTACCTTGTCAAAGAATCTGTTTAAGCTGCAAGTTCCCCCAAAGACACAAAAAATATTGAGATAACAAAAACTTTTTTTAAGACAACCTTGTAGAGTGAAGCTAAGTACTGATAATAACTGGCAACTAAGTAATAGATGTTTCTGCTTTTCCTTTTAAATTTTATTATTTTATTTTGAACCTAAACAACAAAATAAAAGCATTACACACAAAAAGAGGATTCTGTATGAAACTGTGAATTTACACTTCACATTGCTTTCTTTTTCCAATACATATAACAATTTCTATGTTACTTTCAAAGCTGTCCTTCTTGTTTGTGATTCCTCCTGTAGAATTTTTTAAAGTATTAAAATGTCCCTTTTTTTTGGCATTACTATTGCTAACTACCATACCTTCTGACTCCTCCCCCCAACTCCCATAACCCTCAAAACATAAACATAGTATAGCAAAATGAATCCACAGTGGCCACGTCCACAAATACATAACTCTGCACTTCATGTCTATCACGTCTCTGTCAAGAGTTGATAACATGCCTTATCACACATCCTATAGGGTTAGAGTTGGTCATTGTTTAGATCAGAGTTCTCAAGTTCTTCAAAGGTGTTTTTCTTTACCATGTTATTATCCTTCATGGCTAATGTGGAAATTTGTTTTGCACAAGTGTGTATATCCTCGTAGTGAGTTTTGTTTTTCTTGCTTCTTTTTTTTCCTTAATAGTATTTTTTCCCCCAACTACATGTGAAGATAAGTTTTTAACATTCATTTTCGTAAAATTTTGAGTTATAAATTTTTCTCCCTCCCTCCCCAAGACAGTAAGCAATCTGATATAGGCTGTACATATGCAATCATTTTAAACATATCTCCACATTAGTTATGTTGTGAAAGAAGAATCAGAACAAAAGAGAAAACCGTGAGAAAGAAAAAACAAAAAAAAGTGAAAATAATGTGTTTTGATCTGCATTCAGATTCCATAGTTCTCTCTCTGGATGTTTTCTTACTTCTTCAATGGATAAAAGAGGGACAGAGGAAAGGAGATAATTTGGAACTGAAAATAATATCAAATTGAAAAAAATCAATGTTCTTATATTTATGTAAATTGTTCTCTTGGTTTGGTTCACTTCATTCTAGTTCGTATGACCCAGAATGCTCTTGAATTATCTTTTTCATCATATCTTATGGAGCAATAATATAAACTTACATTTGTATGCCACAATCCGCTTGGCCATTCCACAGCTATATTAGAATTATACAGTAAGGAATCCCCTTGGATTCTAATTCTTTTCTCTTCCCCATTTTGAATTTTCCCATAAGGCTCAGTAAGTTTATTTTAGACTATTTGTATTTACTTACTTAACTTTTTTTTTTGGCTAGGCAATGGGGTTAAGTGACTTGCCCAGGGTCACAAAGCTAGTAAGTGTTATGTATCTGAGGTCGAATTTGAACTCAGGTCCTCCTGAATTCAGGGCTGGTGCGCTATCTACTGTGCCACCTAGCTGCCCCTATTTACTTAACATTTATGCTATATCTATCTATCTTTCTGTCTGTCTGTCTATCTATCTATCTAAGTACATTGAGTATCTTTCTTTGTATCTTTGGAGATAACATAGACATTAATCAAAACCCAAAGTCATTTTTCTCCATGAGGGTAGAGGTATAATTAGCCAAACACTATAAGAAAGGGAAGTCTAACCTCTCTTATTAGAGGCTAGGCTCCCTCAGGACTTTAATTCAGTCCAAAAGCATGAGTATCTCTAGGGCAGATGGGTCTCTTTGGACAGGATTCAGCACCTCAGCCCACCTGGTCCCAGCAGCAATTTATTTGTCAAATGGAAATGGATGGTTAATTTCTATTTCCAAAATGGTACCAATTATTATAATATATATTATGATATAAATAATATAAAATAGGTAATATATATAAATAATATAGATGCAAATAAATAGACATAAAAATATAAAATTTTGTAATCCCACAAATTAAAAAAGCACCGGAAAGACAGTTTTATTTTTTCTTCAATAATAAAAATAACAGCTCATATTTCTATGGCACTTCAAGGTTTACAAAGAAAGCACTTTTCTCACAACAGTCCTGTGAAGTAGGTATTATAATATCTTCATTTTACAGATGAAGAAACTGAGGGTCAGAACATTTGAGTAATTTTTACACAGCTAGGAACTGTCAAAAACTCAAACCCAGTTTCCCCTTCATCCTATACTACTTTTTAAAAGCATCAATTCCATAATTACATAAATAACAGACATTGCACAATCCATATGTGAGTATATTCTTCATTTCAAAAGAATATAAGATCCTTCAAAGCAAGCACTGTTTTCTTTTTCTCTTTAAAAAGCACTGTACACAGTGCCTGGAACATAGATGCTTGTCTACCTGGTGTAAGAGCCTTCTCAAAAGTGTAGCCCATGGTTTTCTCCACCATCCTCTACAAAGTTCATTTTGATGTAGTTGAAGGCTGGAGCTTCCTTGAGAGCAGGGCTGATTCACATTTGTCTTTGCATACTAGTACCTTGAATATCCTCACAAATTGACTTGTCTGTGAGGAATCTGTCTGGCAGCTAGCTCTCAATTAATGTGAATAATGACTCCTATGCAGCATTACAGTTATCCCTTCCATATCGCAGGGGTTAAGAGGCATGGCGCCCTTGAAATCTGGAAAATCCACATAATCCCTTCATACCAAAGAAGTCTGAATTATTATGGTATTAAAAGAGAAAACATACTGATATTCTACAATACAACACATATATTTTATGCATTTCTGAGTTTCTAAGCTTTTCTGTGACATCTGCTGACCTTTGTGTGTCATCTGTAGCTTCCACAAAACTCTCCAAAAATTCCCATTTAATTTCTTATGTCAACCAGTGATACATCAAAACCATGATGGAGAAAGCCATGATGTGGAAGGGATAACTGTGTTCGATTTGGCACTATTCAAAGTTATAATTATATGTAAAATATGCTTATTGGTTCCAGCCCATTGGAAATCTGCAATAAAGATTCAAATAATGTGACCACTTCACAGATTCATTATTCACACTAATAGGGACCTAACTATAGTTGACCCTTAAACACTTTGTGTTGGTTGATTGATTGCTTGATTGAAGTCAGTCATTTTAGTTCCATCATTTTCTATCACATAAAGAGTCTGGTTTAAAACTAGTTTCTCCTAAAAGAAAAGTTACAGTGATTACTTCCAAGAAAGATGGCCCCACCGGCTTCGGTTCTCCCTTCCCTACTGCAGAGCATAACCCCGCTCTGACTGAGTAGGTGGTCTTCATGAATTGTGGTAGCCTGCAAAAATCTTCTCTTGATGATTAAGTTTCTGATATGAGCTTCTCCAAATTTACCTAGGCTAGTCCTCCAATGAAATAAAAAAAAAAGGAATCTGTCACTAGACCCATACTTGAAGCTTATTCCAGCTTAGTGGACCCACCAGAGATTGGCCTCCATTAGTACAGCCTTTGAGGACCCAGAGTTAACTCCCTACCATGATGAGGCATTAAAAATGAAGTTTAATGAAGGAATGGAGTGAGGAGAAGATGGGAGAAGATATATTTATACACAACAAAACACTTTTGATTCTCCTTTAGAAAAAAACAAACTTCCTTACATTGCCTTCCTTTTATAAAGAAGACAGAGCAGATGCATATCATAAACCTCACTGCATCAGAAGTGATGCTATCAATGGATATTCATAGATCATTGACTTAGTGCTGGAAAGGATCTCAGAAGCCTTCAACTCCCAACTCTTTATTTTACAGATGAGGAAAATGAGGCCCAGCAAAATTAAGTGACTTGCCCAGGGTCACACAAACAATCCTGCCACAGAGGTAGTATCAAAGGTGGAATATGAACCCATATCAAAGGATTTGGAGTCAAAGGACTCCAGGGGCCATTATTTTTGCCATTGTAACACACTGCTTCCATCCATATGGTAGCCTTTCACCCTAAACCAGGACAGTTTTTTATCTTACAGTATAAAATAAAGTTAATTTTTAATAAATTTTTAAATTTTAACTTAATTTAAAATTTTTTAATTTCTAATAAAATTTCAAGAATCTGGACAGTTGCAAAGATCTTATTTTAATGAACTGTCCAAAGATAAAAAGAAGAGTATCCCATCTGTACCTGGCTCCTCAAGTGAGATATAGGCTGTGGACAGATTCCTGCTCAGCATTAAAGAATTCCTTCCAGAACTGAGTTCCTGGAAGCAATCATCCTAGAAAGATGCCAAAGGACCATGGATGCTAAAGTGGTCCAAGAGGTACTTAATTACTCTTTTCCTTTAAGATTACCTCCCTTAAAGTATGTAGTGCTATACATACATATGTATATAATAATAATAATAGCTAATATTGATATAATGCCTACTATGTGCCAGGCACTAAGCTGAGTGCTTTATAATTATTATCTCATCTGATCCTTACAACAATCTTGGGAGGGAGGTGCCGTTATTAGTTCATTTTACATGTGAGGAAACTGAGGCACACAGTTAAGGGACTTGCTAAGGGTCACACAGTCAGTAAGTGTTTGAGGTTGAATTTGAACTCAAGTCTTCCTGCTTCCAAGCCCAACAGTGCAGTATATATCCACATAAACATATACTTATATTATATTTAATGTATAATATACATACATAGTTGTTTGAATGTTGGCTTCTATACTAGCATGTGAGCTCCTTGAGAGCAGGGACCATCTTTTCTCTTTCTTTGTATGCTCGGAGTTAATCGCAGTACCTGGCACATTTTTGTTGTTCATTTGTTTTTTAGTTGTGTCTGACTCTTCAGGACCCTATTTGAGATCTTCTTGGCAAAGACACTAGAGTGGCTTGCCATTTCCTTCTCCAGCTCATTTTATAGATGAGGAAACTGAGGCAAACAGGGGTAAGTGACTTGCCCGGGGTCATATGGCTAGCAAATATCTGAGGTCACATTTGAACTCGGGTCTTCCTGACTCCAGGGCCAACACTCTCTCATCTAGCTGCCCTGCCTGGCACATAGTAAGCACTTAATAAATGCTTGTTGATTGTACTGACTTACATCTGTGAGAATAAATGTCCACATCACCACAGACTCTCATATGTTTGACAGCCTTGTGAGGAGCGAGAGAAGGTTCTATAACCTACATTCTCCACCAAAGTGAGACTGGTGAACATATCATTAGAGCAGGGATTTTTATCCTCGGGTGCATGAACATATTTTTGGATTTCTGGATATTTTGGTAACAATAAATTTCTTTTGTAATCCTATGTCTTTTATCATACTTGATTCTGAGAAGGGGTCCACACATTTCACCAAACTGACTGACAAAGGGGTCCAGGACATAAGCAAGATGAAGAATACCTCCATTACACAATCATTAATTGACTCTTTTTCTTCCCACCACATCTCCAGGGAAAAGTACAATCTACTCCCATTCTAAGAAAGATGAAAAGCAACATACCTTCTTGAAAAAATCAAAGTTAGATAAAAAGTCTTCTTTGGTTAGCAGGAATCTGTCATCAATGCTCTGTTTCCTTCCTCCTGAAAAACAGACGTTGTTTGTAATTTTGGAAAAATAATTGTGCTAGCCATTACTCCGTGAAACAATTCTTTAGAATTCCTAATCCAAAGGTAAATTCTTAAGTTTTATTTACCTGTGTCAAACACACAGCCAGTGGGCTGAATGAAGCCCACAACATTCCTGAGTGCAGCCCAAACCAGATTAAAATAAAAAATAAACATAAATACAATAAAACAGAGATCATATTACATGTATGATTTACTGGCTCTCATTTCTATTTGGATTTGATGCCAAGGATCTAATCCAACCCAGGTCTGAAGCAATATTGCCAGCAAATCCTTTTTCCCTTCTTGCATTTTCCTAACATTTTGGACCTCTCTCCTATAGTTATCAACTTTTAAATTACATTACAGTCATTTGCATCTGTGATTCTTGAAGGTAGGGGCTGTGTGATTTCACCTTTGCCTTCCCAGCAAGTCAAATATTTAATTAACACCTACTATGTGCTAAGCACTGTGCTAAATTCTGGAGATGCGAGGAAAGGCAAACCAGAAAACAAACAGAAAAAAACCCTGTCCATGCTTTGAATAAATTCACATTCTAAAGAGGAGGTTAGCATCCGGTCATCTAGGTACGAATGAGATGCAGCCAGAATGATTAGACATAACCTTAAAGGGAAGGCATAAAAGGCTTCTTGCAGAAAGTGGGATGATTTTTATTATGATGGCAACATTTGTCATAAGTGGCACAGTGGATAAAGTGCTGGATTTGGAGCCAGGAAGACCTGACCTTGAATCCCACCTCAGACACATATTAGCAGTGTACCTCTGGGCAAATCACTTCACCTTTCCTTGCCTCAGTTTCCCCCTTTGTAAAATGAAGGGATTAGACTTGATGTCATCTAAGGTCCCTCCTAGATCTAAATCTATTATCTTACACTCTTAACTGAAGCGATCATCCACCTGCTGTTTGAATACCTCCTGTGACAGGGAGCTCCTTACCTCATGAGGTAAATAAACAGCTCTAACTGTTAGAAAGTTCTTAGTTATATGACAGGAAGGTTAAAATTAATCTCCCTGTACTTCCTACCAATTGGGCCCAGTTCTGCCCAATTGCTGATACCTTTTCTACCTGGTAGTCCTTTAAATATTGGAATACAGCCTTCATTGGCTTCCAAAGTCTTCTCCAGTCTAAACATTCTGAGGTTTATGAAGATAAAACAATCCTAAAAATACTCCATAGAACAGACTAATAATTTTTATTCCTTTTTTCCCTCTTCATCTATGCAGGTATTAGAATTCATTCATCTTCCTCTATACTAGAACCAAGGTTAGAAGCAAATATTGGTTAAAGCTTTTGAAGGTTAGGTTCAAAAAGCTTGAATTTTATATAACGTAATATTACATTGGGCAAGAGGGAGCCACACTGAGGTCTTAAGTAACCTACTTGGTGAAAACATGAGCTATGATTTCTCTATTACAAAATTACAAGGTGACAGTCTGGAAAAAGTAAAATCAACAATCTTTCTATATGCCAACAAAGTAAACATGAAGACAAAAATAAGATTATCCCTGCCCTTTTGAGCTTACATTGTACTGGTAAAAGAAGTGGAAGTTGACCTGAGCATTGAAGGGAACTATAAATGCTTAGTGAACTTATCAACGCTCATGGGTTCAGTTCTCACCACCATACAAATGATTTCCAAATGACCTCTCTCCTGAGCTCTAGTACCACATCACCAACTGCCTTTTGGAAATCTCCAAGTGGACGTCCTGTGGGCATTTCAAACTCAACATGTCTCGAACAGAACCCTTTACCTTTCCCCTCTGGGGCAGTAGAATGCAAGCTCCTTAAGGACGGGGCCTTTGTTTTTCTCCAAAACCTGGTACTGGTCCCAAATGAGTACTTAATAAATGCTTGCTTAATTGAAATTACTTAATTAGGATTTTCCTAATGCTGTCATTCCCTTAAAATTATGTTATGAGATATATATGTATGTATACACACATAAATATGTATACATATACGTGTGTGTATAGATATAGATACACATATATATTTATTTATTCTGTGTTTACTTAACTGTGTAAATGTTGCTTCCCTCAAGCAGGATGTAAGCTTCTTGAGGGCAAGGACTCTTCACTTTTGCCTATGCTGCTGAACCGACTTTCTCAGGTACTCCATTTAGAAACTGGAAGGAGCACTTAATGTTCCATTAACAGAACTGTTGTAAAGAATAACAGGTACAAGTGACTATATATTATTATGTAAATGGCATCTCAAAAGAACAGCAATGCAGAAATAGGGAGATTACTTTGTGTTTATTTTTGCACATATTTTGAATTTATCTAAGTATACATTGTTTAATACGTCATCTTAAAATGTAATCTTCTGAAGGGTAGAGACCGTTTTCATTTTTGCCTCTGTATTCCCAGCACTTAGCATAGTGCCCCGAACATTTGTTGTTTAGTCAATTAGCTATGCCTGACCCCTGGTGACCCCTCCTGGGGTTTTCTTGGCAGAGATACTGGAGTGGATTGCCATTTCCTTCTCCAGCTCATTTTACAGATGAGGAAACTGAGGCAAACAAAGTGAAGTGATTTGCCCAGGGTCATGCAGCTAGTAAATATCTAAGGCCGGATTTGAACTTGGGTCTTCCTGACTCCAGGGTCAGCACCCTGTGCACTGTATTACCTAGTTGCCCCAAACACAGTGGGTGTTTAATAAATGCTTATTGTTGAAATTAATTTCTCAGGTTCCTTATTTATAAAGAAAAAATTCATGCATTATATTACCAGAACCACAATAAAGAGTATTTGATACAAGTGACCATAAATTGCCATGTAAAAGTTATCTCAAAAGAATAGTGATGTAGAAACAGGTACCTGTCAGGAGGCTAACAATTATTCCCACAAGTAGAGTGACCAACATTCCAACGGTGCTGAAGTACAGGAATGATAAGGAATACCAATTATCCATTAGGGGAGTTCTAGAAAGAAGTGGGGGGAAAGCTTCATTAGAAGACTAATCTACAGATCTCAATAAAAAAACAATAGACAGCCATCATGTTCCTTAAAACATTAAAAGCACAAAAGAGAGACTCCACTGTGTTGACTCCTCTGTGCTCATCAATTAAGGACTGGCAGAACAAATTATAGCTAGTGAATATAATGTAATACCATTGTGCTATAAGAAATAATGAAAAATATGGCATCAGAGAAACCTGAGAAGACTAGTATTAACAGATTCATAATGAAATGAGCAGAATGAGAAGAGCAGCATATACAACAGCCTTAAAAGGAAAAACAAATTCACAAGATTTAAGAGCTCTGATCAAAATGCGACAAACTGCGATTCCAGAGGACTCAGGATGGACCATGTTGTCTACCTCCTGACAGAGAAGTAATGGACTCAATATCCAGAACAAGACATACATATTTGGATGTGGCCAATGAGAGAACTTATTTTGCTTGGCTATATCATATATACACATGTGCGTGTGTTTAATAAATACCTACTGTAGTACCAAGCACTATGCTAAGTTCTGGAGATGCAAACAAAGACAAACCAAAAAACAGTCCATGCTTTGAAGGAGTTCACAGTCTAATGAGGGAGTCAGCATGCAATCCTCTGTGCATGAACAAGATTCAGCTAGGATAAATTGGAGATAATCTTAAAAGGAAGGCAACAACATTTAGAGAGATCAGGAAAGGCTTCTTTTAGAAGACAGAATTATTTTTAATTATAATGACATCATTTGTCATAGGTGGCCCGGTGGATAGAGCATTGGACTTGGAGTCAGGCAGACCTGACTCTCTGTCTCTCCATCTGTCTGTCTCTCTTTCTCTCTCTATTATATAGCTGTGTATGTATATGTATATATTTAATGATTGCAAGAGTTTTTTAATATTATTTTTCTTTTTCCAGTAAGCAAGGCAGAAAGGAGAGAAAATCTATTTAAAATTCAAAATTTTAAAACCTAAGCTAAAAAGAGTTGATTCCTCAGTTGTGAGTTGGACTTATGGAAAGACATGGATGAGGGGCAAACAGGATGTGTATTGATGGATTAAGATTTGCATTTTTATAGAGTGTTCACCACAGATTCTCTTATCTCCTCCTCCCATTAAAAAGCAAAAGCAAAACCCTTAAAAAAAATACTTATAGTCAAGGAAAACAGTAACATCATTCCAAAGTATGCATCAATGATCTCCAAGGCAAAGTGATGATAGCCTGAAGGAGTCTTCTGGGTTCTACCTGTCTCTCACTTAGTTGCTTTTTTTTTTAAGTGACATTGTAAAATTTATTTCAATACCTTTCAGCACTATGAACTTGAAAAGCATTTGGAGAAAATGGTGTTCCTGTAGTTGCGTTCCAGTTCCTCTGGTGGTGGAAGCTGGTTACATTACAACCATCTGTAATGAGGCTCAATGGTAAATTTCTCTCTGGAAGGGGAGGATAAAGCTGAGCTCCAATTCCAACCCAAAGGGAAATGGCAAATCCTGTAGTGAGCCCTACCAATGCCCCCTGCAAAACAGAAGTGCTTTTGAGAGGAAAACAATAGTTTTCTTTGTTTTTTTTTCTTTAAATTTATGGAATAAAACAAGCATTCCCATAATATAGTACAATAAAAAAGATGATTGTGCATGAATCGGCAAATCTACTATGCACAACTTGTCATTCCTTTCAAATATACAACAAAATGATCACATAAATTTCTTTTTTCCCCCTTTTTTTCTCTTCCCTATCCCCGACCCCTTTTGGAAGGGAAAAAAGGAACAGAAGGGATATTGAGGCTACTTTCTTCCCAAATGAGCTATCCAAAAGTGGAATGATCTGCCTGGAGAGGTAATGGGCTTATCCTCACTAGGGGTCTACAGGCAAAGGCTTGTCCATTTACTGGAAATGTGGTCAGGAGAAGTTGTGTTCAGGCATGGTTGGGTCCAGTAAGTAGCCTGTGAGGTTGCTTCCAACTCTGAAATTCTTGTCTTGATTCAAGGCTATATCCGCTATGCTCAAAACCAGATAACATCACCTTCTCTCCCTAACCAGCTTCTCCTTAGGGGTTCTTTATCTCTATCAATGGTAGCGTCAGGATACTATTAGGAGACACCTTGTTCTCCAGAGCTAAGGCCCAGTAAAGCAAGCTGTGCCCAGAGCTTGGCATAACAATAGTCCTCTGTGCTCACCCTCTGGATGATGTCAGCCACAGTAAAATCCCAGAATTGTTTTACACCAGCACCAGGAGTTCTCTGATCTCAGACAAGCACTAGATAAGTACCCATATTCTGGTCATGAAGCCGTGCTATGAATCAAACTTGTCTCACTGTTACTGTTAGCCCCTCACTGTCAGAGCTACAGCTTACTGCACAGCCATTGGTATAAGTGTTGAGGTTTGCCCACACTAAAGTGGGTCCCCCTCTACGGGGGCCCCCAGCACATATATCTAGCTTCCCTCCTTTCTTAGGAAGGGGGACTCCCAGGGAAGCTAGGTGGCGCAGTGGAAAGAGCACCGGCCCTCAAGTCAGGAGGACCTGAGTTCAAATCCGGCCTCAGACCAAACACTTGACACTTACTAACTGTGTGACCCTGGGCAAGTCACTTAACCCCAATTGCCTTAAAAAAAAAAAGGAAGACTCCACATGTAAGCCATTTCCCTCACAAGCAAATTAACCTTCTATTTGATTCCTGACTCTCCTGTCTCTTGTTGGTTCTACTCTATTTAGCTCTGGCCATCTGCAGGTTAGAGACCAGTTTGGTACGGTCAACCATAGTATTTGACCAGTCATCCAAGGCTCAAATCCTTAGAGTTATCTCGAGGTATAACTGAATATAACTGAGAGGTCTGAGATGGTTATCATTTGGGGCTGTGTATCTCTAGAACCTAGCATAGTATCTGCCACATATTTATCAATCAACATTTATTTATTTATTCATGTAAAATGTACCAGGTGCCATGCAAGGCAATGAGTATAGAAAGATAAAAATAAGATAGCCCTTCCTCTTAAGGAGCTCATATTCTACCAGAGAGAGACAGAACATACACATAGAAGAAAATGCAGCATAATTACAGTGTTTTACACCTAGGTGTGCTATAATGCAAAAAGCATGAGTCGAAGGTGCTGAAATCCTCACTGTTACTTAGCATCTGTATGATCGTAGACAAGTCACTGAACTATTCAGGTCCCAAAAGATCAGATTTCCTCCTAGGGAGATATGTAACTATTTCATGCAAACAGCAATGTGTCAAGTGCTTTAGAACTTGAGAAAAAAAGGCAGTGGGGCTAGGAGTGTGAGGAAGAGGGCTCTTTGGAAAAGAGGTTATACTTTTACCTTTGGGAAAAATTGCTAATTTCCACTGCACTTTTGAGGAAGACACAGTATTCACATTCATATTTTATACTCACCATTGAGTTGGCAAAGGGGACCAGGATGCCCAAAGAAAACAAACCCAAAAGGGGTCCACCAATGATGCCAAAGATACTGAGCACCACCTATGAGGAGAATATAATATCATTGATTAGCTGTGAGAGGCACATTTTCAAGAAGTAGCTAGTTTTCCAATTTAGATTGGAAAGAACGGATTAGAGATCAGTAACAGAATGACAATATCTGTTGGATTTTCTAAAATGGAAAAGGGTTTGATGGAGTACTAGGACTGAGCTAGAGAGAAAATCTAAGTCTGAAAACATGTCAAAGAGATACAGTGGAGTCACTGGACAAAGCCTTGGGAAATATTCACAGTTAGGACAAATGATCGGGATGTTGAACCAGCAAAGGAGACTGAAAAGGAGTGGTCAGACAGGTAGAAGGAGATATATGAGAGACCAGTATGATGAAAGTCCACAGAAAAGAGTATGGTCAGCAGTGCCATATGCAGCAGAGAGGTCAAGAAAGATGAGAATTGAGAAAAAACCATCAGATTTCATCAGCTAACAAACAGATCATTGGCAACTGCGGAAAGTAGCTTTGATCAAGTAATGAGCTCAGAAGCCATACTACAAAGACTTGAGAAATCAAAGAGAGGAGGCAGAGATAGCTAGTGTAAACAGCTTTTCCTAGGAGTTTGACTAAGAAAGGAAAGAGATCTTTAGGACAATATCTTGAGCAATAGCATGGCAGGATTCAGTGAGGGCCATTCCAACAGAACCCCAAAGAACATAACCTAGAGTACATGATATACAATCAAGATGACCTCTGAATGCTCTACAAAACTGTTACCTGTAACAAAGCTCCCATAAGTGATGCCAAAGCTGCCATTCCAATGCACAGGGCTCCATACAGCATACCTGGGGGAACAGACATCAAGTCAAGATCATTTTGATGCAGATAATACTTTCAATGGAATGAGTTCATCAAAGATTTCAAAACTGTAGAAAATTGTACTGGCCCGAAGGATGATCTTATACATCAAAGTAGGTAAAAAGTGAAAAAATATGATGTTTTTTCCTGACAAGTATATGCAAAATTGATGAGTAAGACCCCTGGATTGTGCTTGAAGATTAGTCAAAATCAATCAATAAATAAGCATTTATTAAGTGCTTAGTATGTGTCAGGCATTCTGCTAGGTGCTAAGGATACAATGATGAAACAAAAACATTCTCTGGCCTTAAGAATCTTTTATTCAATAGATGAAAAATGTGCATAAAGATAACTTTATAGAGGTAACTTTAGAAGAGAGGACACCAGTAGGTAAATGGACTAGGAAAGGCTGCCTACAGAAGATGTTGAAACTGAGTCTTGAAGGAAGCCATGTATTCCATGAGATAGAGGAGAGAAGGAAAAACACTCCAAGCATGAGAAACCACCCTGTACAAGAAATAGCAAGTAGATCAGAATAGATAAGACGACGTAGGGTACATCAACGGGAATAATGTGTAAGATGATCATAAAGATAGAAATGGAGACAGCTGTGAAGAGACAGAAATGCCAAGCCAAAGAGTTTATATTTGAACCTAGAAGTAACAGAAAGCCCTAGGAGATTACTGAGTAGGGGGCTGATGTGATCAGACCTAGATTTTAGGAAAATCTCATTGGTAGCTATGTGGAGCATGGACGGGGGTGGGAGAGGCTTGAAGCAAGCAGACCAACCAGAAAGCTATAGCAATAGTAAGTGGAGGCCCCAAGCATACATCACTTTTGGACCCTCCATGTGAAGTCTAGAGGACAATTAGGAGGCTATTTCAAAAGGTGATGAGGTTGGGATCATCCTAGCAGACTGGGGGCCAGAAATGTCTCACTTCCATGTTTACATTACCATTGCCAAGCACAATGCCTGGCACACGGTAGGCACTTAATAAATGTTTGTTGATTGATTGGTTGTGGCTGGCACAACAGGTGTTGTGATTGCTAGTCAAATCAGCAAGCATTTATTAAGTGCCTACTAGGTTCCAGGCACCAGGCTATCCACTACTCCATGCCACTTCCTCAAAAGTAAGACATTTTCTTCCATAGCTCTGCGCAACTCTTGGCTTGGTTCTCCCTCATTTGATAGATGATGAAATCATACCATTGTGGGATTCCAAGTAATCACCCTCACAAAGTTCCTTATTTCTGTGGAAGAAACCACCATCCTCTTGCATCATCCAGATTTAAAACCTCAAAGTTGGCTTTGCCTCTTTTTATATAGTCACACTACTCATATTCCCAATTCAACTAACATCCAAGGCCTGTTGATTAAATCTCTACAATGTCCCTCACATCCATCCTCTTCTCTCCACTCACACAGCCCCAACACCCTAGTTCAGGCCTCATTACCTCTTGCCTGCTGTAATGTAAGCTTCTGAACTGATGTCTCTACTTCCAGTCTCTGTTCCATTGTATATGAACTCAGAAGACATGAGTTTGAATCTTGTCTGTGCTACTTACTGTGTGACTGTGTGTAATTTCCTTAACCTCTCTGAAACTCAGTTTCATCATTTGTAAAATCAGGCAGATGGACCAGATAACTAAGGATGTTTAGGTAGATAGACGGCACAGTGAATCATATCTGATAGACTGAATAGCAAGTAGGTAGATAGACTGAATAGTGAAAGAAGAGCCTACAGTCAAGAAAACTCAAATTCAAATCTCCCCTCTGATACTTACTAGACATGTGGTCCTTTCCAGGTCACTTAACCAAGTCTCACTCTGTTTCTTCTTCCATAAAAATGGGAATAATAATAGCACCTAACCCACATGGTTGTGGTGAGGATTGAGCAATATAATATCTGTAATTGGGAAGCTTTAAAAATCTACGTATTAGCTATCATCATTTAAGCTAGAGAAGAGAAGACTTAGGGAGTGACTAATGGTTCTATTGAGGTATTTAAGGGTCTGTTACGTGGAAGAGGGATTTTTGTCTCCAGAGGGCAAAATCAGGAGCAACTGAGAGTTGCAAAGAAGAAGAATCAACTGTGACTAAAGGGGGCAGGAAGGACTCTTTAATTATTAGAATTATCTGAATGTGAAATGGGCTGCATTAGGATATAGTCATGCACATGTTGTTCTTGTTCAGTTGTTTTCAGTTATGTCCAACTCTCCATGACCCCGTTTGGGGTTTTCTTGGCTGTGATACTGGAGTGGTTAGCCATTTTCTTCTCCAGCTCACGTTACAGATGAAGAAACTGAGGCAAACAGGGTAAAGTGACTTGCCCAGGGTCACACAGCTAGTAAGTGTCTGAGGCTGGATTTGAACTCATGGAGATGAGTCTTCCTGACTCTAGGCCTGGCATTCTATGCACTATGCCACCTATCTGTCCATATAATGCACATAATAAAACACTTAATAAATGCGGGTTTCCTTCTCTTCTTCTATTCCTTCCTTCTCTTCTTCTATTCCTTCCTTCTCTCACTCCTCCTTTCCTTCTTCCCCTCTTTTTCCTCCCTTTACCCTTCTTTTCTTTCCTCTTTGCTTCCATCATTCTGTCCCTCCCTTCCTTCTTTTCCTCCCTCCTCCTTCCTTCCTTTCTTCCTTCCTCCTTCCCTTCAGAAGTCTCCAAGATAACCGCTTGATGAATATGATGGAGAAGAAACACCAGTTCAGATACAGAATGAACTGAACAGAAAATGAAACTCCCTCTAGTTCTAAATCTAAAAACACTTTTCCCTCTTAAACTGGGTCAGATCTCCAAGGACAGAAAGTGCCTGATACTGCAAATATCCCCTGTGATGTAAAAATGGAAAAGTGAAGCTATTCCGCAGTCACTTACTTGTCACTTTACAAAGCTGAGACAGAGTCTTTTCCGAGAGTGATGGGAAGTGAGGTTTGATGAGGTCCGAGATCGTGACTGCAGCTAAGGCATTGACACTGGCCGACACAGTGCTACAGAAGACAAGGAAAAGCTCTTTTTGTTTGTTTTTTGCTTTATTCCATTTAATAAACATCTTGAAGACAGAAACTGGAAAGAAATTTTTTTTAAATTGCTATTGACCCTCAGTATTCGATTCTATTTCTAGAATCTCAGACCCTAGGGCTGGAAGGGACCTCAGAAGCCATGTAATGTAACCACCCCTTTTTACCAAAGAATACCTATCTCAGAGCATTGACTGAAACCCAGAGATGTTAAACAACGTGCCTTGTATCGCAAAGCTAGGAAGCATCAAAGGCAGAATTTGGACCGAGAGCTTTCTGACTTCTGCATTCTATCTACTATTCCACACTGCTTCCCCATACTTGTATTTAAGACAAATAACTCAGGCATCTGTTTTTGACAAATAGTGAAATCTTTAGGGAAAAGGGAAAACTGTTGACATTGAATTATTATTACTATTGAAACCTCACTGGGAATATGGAAACAAACTGTATGGGAATGAGTTTCATTAAACACAAAACCTTCCCTTGAATAGTGATCCCGAGGGTGGGGATGGGGGATAAGATAATCTACCTCCCTGATATGGTTAATACAGATAATGAAACAACACTTGGGTCCCTCATTATAACATTGAGGTGACTCTGAGCTCTCTAGAACTCTAAGAGCAAAATGTTAGCTCTGGGAGGAGTGATCAAGCTGGATAGGCTTCCAGTGTGGTCCCAACAAAGGACTATGGTTTGATAACCAGCCAGGATAAGTACAAAGAGGCTGATCAACCATACATGACCTCAAGGAGAAGCTTCTTGTTTGGAGCAACTGGTGAAGACCATTTATAAAGATACAGAGAATATATTTATGCCCATGAAGGTATCGGTATACCCTATGATGAAATCACAGTTCCCAGGGTGTATTGAATAGAATATATGCCTAGGTTGCAAGCTTATCATTCCTATTGCTAGAATTCAGCCTCAGCTCATGAAATATGAAGGTTTTCACAAAGCACTCCAAAATCATATTTCATTAATTATGTAAAGTTCATACCTCAGTGTTGCACTATATATACATGCCACAAAGAGTCCTGGGAGTCCCGGAAAATCTTGCAGAATGTCCAGTGCTAAATAGGGCATGAGCTGAAAAAGTCCAAAGTTTACATCTATAATCACCGACGAAGGAAATCAATATCTCATTTATCCAGCATTGCCAGAGAATGAGCTATGCCAAATGGATGAATGTTTAAGGTAAGTAACTCAGTAACAAAACTCTGCCTTTTTAAAAAGTAAATATTTCTCTTTTGCTTTTTAGACTGTATTGCTTTCTTTTGTTTTTATATCACCTAGATTTTATTCTGAGTACTTCTTCCCTCCACTCCCCTCACCAAGGAGCTACCATCCCTTGTAAAAATGAATTTTTGTAAAAAGAAAAAGTAGAAAGGGGGAAATTGAGTGAAAGATATCAACACATCAAAATGATATTACTTTATTTGCAAAGTTCCACACCACTAGACCTCTGACCTCTAGAAAGGAATGGGGTAGGAGGTGGAGAGGAGCATTGTCTTCTCATATCTCTTTTTTATGGCCAACCTTATCTTTGTAATTTTGCATATTCAGTTTTGAATATTTTGCAGTTGTTGATTTTTCAACTTAAATGATTATAGTCATTGTATACATCATTTTTCTGGCTCTGCTTACTTCACTTTGTATAAGAATATTTAAGTTTTTCCCCTGCTTCCCTCTATTCATCATGCTCATCATTTCTGGTTTTGGTTTTGTTTTTTTTTTTTTTTGGTGAGGACAATTGGGGTTAATTGCCCAGGGTCACACAGCTAGTGAGAGTTATGTATCTGAGGCCAAATTTGAACTCAGGTCTTCCTGATTCCAAGGCTGGCGCTCTATCCACTGTGCCACCTAGCTGCCCTTTATGCTCATCACTTCTTACAGAACATATCTTCAGGGCAATGTGATGTGATCGCCCTTCGGTGATGTTGGTTGTTGAATAAGAAGAAACAGCCTTCCCCAGAGTTTTTCTCATCTTCCAGAAAAATCTTGGTTATTTCCTCATCCTCTTATTTGTGAATAACCTTCTAAAGGTGATTTATACAACAGTAACCCAATGGACCACAGCACCTCTCTTGTCAGGGTCAACCTCAATGGAACTGATCAATAATGGAATGTGAAGGAACATTATCCATACATTTTGATAATTTTAACAATATTGACGAATATTGTTTGTTCAAAACATTAACAAATTTAACAATAGATCAGAGATGGGTTTCTCCAAAGTTTATATTATATATATATATATATATATTTTTTTTTTTTACTTTGGCAATCAGGGTTAAGTGACTCACCCAGGGTCACACAGCTAATAGGTAGTATCTAGTGTCTGAGACCGGATTTGAACTTGGGTCCTCCTAACTCCAAGGCCAGAGCTCTATCCACTGCACCACCAAGCTGCCCCTATAAATTCTTTTCACCAGGAAAAGATGAAGCTTCTACAGGTATGATAACCAAACAATTTCCTCCAAGTCCTTTTTGACATTTTACTTTGAACAGAACTTAAATACAAGATCCATTAAACACCGAATCATCTTTAACATCATACTAAATTCTTTCTGTAATAATGGTCTATAACAAATAGTTATAGAAGAAAGATTATGGAACTTGGATTCAGGAGAAATGAGTTCGAATCTGGGCTCTGACACTTGCCATGGTACCATAGGCAAATCATTCATTTTCTGTGAGTATCCATTTGATCATCTATAAAATGGTTACAATAATATTTATACTGCCTGCCTCACAGGGTATAATGAAAATTCTTTGTAAACCTTAAAGTCTTCTCTAAATAGGAGCTATTTTTCCATATTCTTATTAATAACAGCTTAGTCTCCAGGGTAAATGAGGCATCACTCTCAGCTAAATAAATGGTGGAAATACGCCAAATTCCAATCTTTTTTCCTCTAAATGAAGTGTACCAAAATCCAATAATATAACAACTTTGCTATTGCTACACCTTCAAAGGCAGGGATGTTTCACTGAAGGTACTAAATGATCAAATAATTAATTAGAATAAATGTCCTTTTCATTATAAGAAACACCAGCCTTGGTCCCAAAAAATAATTTTTTAAAATGAACCTTACCTCCCTTCAGGTACAAAACGGAGGAACAGTTGGAATGGACTATATCACATTTGGCAGTCATCAGATATGGTTGATGTGTTGTTTGGAGTTATTGAATGGTTTGATTTTGATGTATGTATGTATGTATGTATGTATGTATGTGTATGTATGCACGCATGTATGTATGTATGTATGTATGTATATGTACAGCTGAATGATGAATCCTGGATGTAAAAAAATGTGGACATATACATATAAATTTGCGCAAGCTTTTAGTAGAGTTTCTAGTGTGCCTACCTATTGTTCACTGACCATGTAGGAGCACTCTGAACCAACAATATTATTTCATAATCTATGGCTAATGTATTCACAAAATAGTTGCAGTACTGAACTTGGTCTGGTGCTGACACTTTCTTTGATGTCCAAGGATCACATTCATGGTATCTTGAATAAAGGACAAGACCACACAACGTTGTACAGGCAAGAATTCCCCAGCATCCTATAAGATTTATGTAAAGGGACCTACACAAACAAACAATAAATGCCATCATTAATATGCTAAGGCTTTAAAGAAACATCACCTGGCAGTAAAAAATAGGCATTGCCACTTTGCTTCCATACTTCATTAGGTAAATAAATATTATCTTTTAGTTGGCAAAAAGAAAATTGTTTGGTTTACTCGGGTGTAACCATTTCTCTTTATAACAGCAACTAATGAAGGAAAACAGATGAGTTTGACCGTTTTGCTCTCTAAACTTAAAGACAAAGGGTTAATTTCAGAGAAGACCTACATGAACCGAGACAGAGAGAAGTGAGCAGAACCAGGAGAACTCTGATCAGTACCACAACTAACCATATGTATTTCCAGATGACTGATAATGAAGAATGCTACTCTCCTCCTGAAAAATGATGGATTCAACATGCAAAATTAGATCTACATTTTTGGACATGGCCAATGGGGAAATTTATTTTACTCGTTTATGCTTATCTGTTGCAAAGGATACTTCTTTCTTTTTAATGGGTGAACAGTGGGAGGGACAGAAAATAAATGCTTGTTAATTGGAAAAAAAATGTAATTAAGACACAAAAACAAAAGAAGAGGTCACGTACTGTTAGGTCATGCTGCAAGAGAACTGCTAGCATTTGAACCCAGGTTGTCTGACTCCAGAGAACTGCACTCCTCTTCCTCCCAAAAGAACAAGCAAGACTGTACTTCAGAAATAGTGTAGTTCTTTGAACGATCCTAAATTACTTATTTCTTGTCACAAAAACACCCCGTCTTTTAAATCACAGTAACGTTCTGATGACATGGTATGGGTGTAAATCATGGAACACCAGAATTTTCTTGAAGAAACAGAATTGTGGGTTACCCAAAGGGCAAGATGCATGGTAGACTAAGCATGTTGCAACAGCTGAAAGGATCTCAAGTGGCCATTTACTACAAGCCCTACTTGATGAGGAAAGCCCACTACAACACATGCAACAAACTTTCATCTAGCCTTTGAGATAATTCTATCAGGAAATTTTTTTAACTGTGCGGCTTTGTAACTTCTCTGCTCTGCTTTTAATTCTGCCCTCTGGGGACAAAGAAAACAAATCTGATGCCTGTTCTATGTGACAGACTTTCAAGTACCTAAAGATAGTGTCTCTCCCCTCACACCCACCCCCTGGCCAGTTTCCCCTAATCTAGGCTGAATAGCTCCTAGTTCCTTTAGTCAACCCTCCCAAATAACATGAACTTCACCATCATGGTTGCCCTCCTTCAGAAATTCTCCATTTTATCAGGGTACATTTTACAACATGTCATGGAAAAGAAAAGAAAGAACAGAAAACCTTTGGACTAGAATCAAGGCTAGACTTGGAAAAATATACTATTTGTCAAAAGTACTGCTAATAGGATGTGTGGATTCATGAATCCATCAATTTTCTGTCTATTGGTGGATAGATAGCTTGGAGGTCTTCTGTGGCCTTGCCCTGTGCCTGCAGTATAAATTCCAAGTTTAGCCTGCCATTCAAAGCACTCCATGAATTGGCCTCAACCAGTCTCATTTCCTTCTATTCAAACATTTGCTCCACATAAAACCTTCTGCTAACACTCTCTCAGACATAGGTTTTCCTTGTTTGTTTTTTTTCTCCCCATGTCCTGTGGGGTCAGATCTTCCTCTCTTCTTTCCTAAGGCAAGTTCTAAGCTTGCTTTAGGACTTAACTTCAGTCCGTCCACCTCCAAAAAGCCTTCAAAGAGCAAGTCCTAGCATTCTAGCCTTCCTCTAAACTAATAGGGCATCTTCCATTTTTACTGCCCATTTGGCATTGATGGGTATACTCACAATATCACTTGTAATGTTCTGCTGGATTATTAATTACCCCTTTTAGTATGATTTGGCTTTTCAGGCATTTAAATTTCATTTTCCTGATTCTTCCTTTATTGCCATTCCCCTTATGAGAAACTACCCACCCACCTGCTTTTCATACCTTTTATATAATGATATATAATCCAGTTTCACCAGATTAATTCAGTGGATTAATCCAGTTTCACCAGATTAATTCAGTGGATTAATCCAGTTTCACTGGATTGCAGTGTGGAGGAGCTGTGGAGTGAGTATTATCTTCCCCCTTGTTTAGTCATTTCCAGTTGTGTCCAATTTTCTGTGACCCCATTGGGGTTTTCTTGGCAAAGATACTGGTTGCCATTTCCTTCTCCAGCTCATATTACAGATGAGGACACTGAGGCAAACAGGGGTAAGTAACTTGCCCAGAGTCACACAGCTAGTAAGTGTCTGAGGCTGGACTTTAACACAAAAAGATGAGTCTTCCTGACTCTAGCCCAGCACTCTATGTACTATGGCACCACCTAGCTGCCTCATTAGAACGTAAATTCCTTGACTGTAGGGTCCATCTTTTTTTTTTTTTGCTTGCATTTGTAACCTCAGTGTTTAGCATGGAGGACATCATCCTCGTTGACCACGCTCCTAGCTCCTTGGAGACAGAGACCATCTTGATATTACCCTGTATCCCCAATTCCTAGCCTGACAGACACTCAACAAGTGGTTTGGGATTTTTTTTTAAGTGAAGGCATACATATAAATCCCTACATTTTCTCTCTCAGAATACAGGGTTCAAAAGCCAGAATTATTTTAACTGCTTTTGAAATATTTTACCATTATTTTTTGGGAGCAAAGTCAATTATGGCTTCATAGCCCCAGAGCTGGAAGGGATCTGAGAGACCATCTTTTCTAATTCTCTTATTTTACAGATGAGTAAACTGAGGCCCAGAGAGGTTAGCCAATTTGCCCAGGGTCACAGAGGTTGCAAGTGACAGAGGTTGGATTTGAATCCCAGGTCCTCTGATGACAAATTCAATACTCTTTCCAATGATCCTCTCAAGTGCTGTACAGAAAAGAAACCCACCCCTCTCTTATATTTCCATTTCCTAACCCTAGCATCACCCTCAACTCCTCATTCTCCCTCAACCTTTATATCCCATGAGTTGCCAGATCTTGCCATTTCTACCTCCACAACACCTCTCCATCTCACGCCTGCTCTCCATTCACATGGGCCTTTACCTCTCCTCTAAACTACTTCAACAGCTTCCTAATTGGCCTTCCTGACTCAAGGGTCTTCCCACTCCAGTCCATCCTCCACACAGCTGCCAAAGCGATGTCGCTTAAAGGCAGATCTGACCTGAAGTTTTAAGTTAAGATCAGCTATCACCTACTCAATAATTTCATGCAGTTAGGCTAGCATATAAATTCCTATGTTTGGTTTTTAAAGCCCTTTCCAAGCTGGTCCCTTTTCCATCTTTCCAGACTCATTTACCCCTTCCCTTCCCTAACTCTACTCTCCAGACAAACTGGCCATATCTCTCTTTCTCACACACACTGCTCCATCTCTTATCTCACTGGTTGGCTTCCATGTTCCGAATGCACTCACTGCTCTTCTCAGATGCAAACTAAGAGTTAAGTGACCTGTGCCATAGTGCATAGAATGCTGGGCTAGAGTCAGGAAGATTCATGCCTCTTCGAATCTTTTCCTGCAACATGTAAACCAAGTACTACCTTTCCTGATCCCTTCAGAAAGCTGGTGACCCCCCTCCCAAACTACATTAAATTAACTACCTTAGTGTTATATTGTATTTATTTGGAAAGCACTCATATAGGTGCATGTTATTTCAAAACTCCTTGAGAATGGGGACTGTCATTTTTTATGTTCGTCATGACATCACCTAGTATGGTACCTGGGTCATGATTTCGTTGTTGAGTCATTTCAGTCATGTCTGACTCCTGGTGACCCTATTTGGGGTTTTCTTGGCAAAGATACTGAAGCAGTTGGCCTTTTCCTTCTCCAGTTCATTTTACAGATGAGGAAACTGAGGCAAACTAAGAGTTAAGTGACCTGCCCAGGGTCACCCAGCTCATAAGTGTCTAAGGTCAGGGTTGAACTCAGGAAAATGAGTCTATGTAACTCCAGGCCTGGCTGGGGCTCTATCCATGCCACCTAGCTGTTCCAGCTCATGGTGATGTGTTCTTTGTCCTTCATTCTCAAAGATGACCATGACATCAGGAAGGTGATGTCGTGACCTGCAAGTGAACTGTATTTAAGTGAGGCAGGGCTGTGCAAAGTCACCAGCCTCACTCTCTCCTCTGGAGCTATCTAGGTCCAGTGGCAAGACACTTGATTGACTTGTTGGGAGAACTGTGCTTGTACCCCATCTCTGACACTTACTACCTGGGTGACCCTGGGCAAATCCCTCAACCTTTCTCAGCCTCAGTTCTTCATTTGTAAAACATGGACTGTACCTGTAACTATGTCTTTGCCTTCCTGAGACAAAGAGTTGCTTAAGGACTTGAGAGCTACATACAGCCTTGAGGTCACATGTAGCCCTCTAGGTCCTCAAGTGTGGCCCTTTGACTGAATCCAAACTTTGCAGAAGAAATCCCCATAATAAAAGGATTTGCTCCGTAAAACTTGAACTCTGTTGAAAGGCTGCACCCAAAGACATAGAAGGCCACGGGTTCCCCATCCCTGGGATGATCTACCCAGTATATGTTAGAAGTTGTCTTACAGCCAGTATAGGTCAGAAGCAAGACACAAACAATTTTCTCTAAGCACTAGACCATCCTGTCTCTCATCAATATAAAGTATAAATTGCAGTATAAATTATTATACAGATGAGTACCCTTGAAGGTATAAATTACTGTTATTAATATATTATTGTATAAATTACTATATTAAAGGATTATACAAAATATGTGTATTCTATAAAATATACATCACATATATATCATATTATACTGAAAGGATTAAATAAAAATTATTCTCTAAAATGTCTTTCATAAAAAACAAAGGACATTTAAGAGTGTTGATACATAAACAATACTACATAGCTCTTACATTTTCGCATGGAAACGGCTTTTGCAGGCATTGTACCTCTGCACTTGAGCTGGACTGATGCCAAAGACGGTGAGCCATGTGATGGACCCACCAATGATGATGGTCCAGAAGGTGTATCTTTGAAGAGGATTGGGATTGAAGCTGAACAGCAAATAGAGGAACCAAGTAGACTGTCAGAAAGAAATGAACACTGCCCAAAGAGTTCACATTAAAGTCAATGAAATAAAAAGTTTTCCCATTGAAATTAAGAGACACAAGGGTAAGGACCCCGGTGTTTATCGCTGAATAGTCATAACTGTCAATTACCCTCTGTTTCCCTCTCTATAAAATAAGGGGTTTGGCCTAGAAGAGGCTATGGGTGACAGTGTAAAGAGCATTGAAACCTGAATTTGAATCCTGGTTCCACCATTTACTTCCTGTGGGATGTGGGACAAGTTACTAACTCTCTGGGCCTCAGTTTCCTTATCTGTCAAATGATGGGATCGTACTATGATCCTCTTGCTAGATAATGTCTCAAGATACCTCCAGTTCCAACATGCTGTAATTCTAATCATTTATGTATTTGCTCGTCGACTCTAAGAAGGATTTTACTATACATTTACTATACATCAGAATTTCTTTGGGTTTCTCTTTAGGTCTTCAGAATTTCCACTTGTGGGGGGCAGCTAGGTGGCACAGTGCATAGAGCACTGGCCCTGGAGTCAGGAGGACCTGAGTTCAAATCCGGCCTAAGACACATAATGCTCACTAGCTGTGTGACCCTGGGCAAGTCACCTAACCCCGTCACCTAGCCAAAAAAAAGAATTTCCCCTTAGGATATCCTATCCCTCCTGTGCTAAATTCCCCTGAAGCTTCTGAACTCTACTCCCCCAGAACCTAAAATATATGTCAGACTATGTAAGTCCAGCCTTCTTGTACCTTTATGACAAATTCAAAGGTAATCTGGTCACTTTCTCCCCAACTGTTCCATCATTCTCTCCTGCCTCTGGATTTAGTTCTGCCTTGTTGGTGACAATCAGACCCAAAATGAATTTTGTGGGTTCTTCTATCTCTTTGAAGAAAGAGATCATTTTTTAAAAAAATGCTAAATACTTTTTTCACTTTCTTTATTTTTCTTGCTTTTTTTGGAACATGGCTAGTATAAAAATGTTTTGTATAACTTCACATGTATAATCAGTATCAAATAGCTTGCCTTCTCAATGGGTGGGGGAGGAGCTGGAGGGAGGGAAAGAATTTGAAACTCAGAAAAAAATTTTTTAATGATGTTAAAAATAAATAATGGAAAGAAGGAAGGAAGGAAGAAAGGAAGGAAGGAAGGAGAGAGAGAGAAAGAAAGAAAGAAAGAAAGAAAGAAAGAAAGAAAGAAAGAAAGAAAGAAAGAAAGAAAGAAAGAAAGAAAGAAAGAAAGAAAACATGTTGAGCAAAAAGTAAATGTTTTAGAGGCAGCTAGATGGCACAGTGGGTAGAGCACCAGCCCTAGAGTGAGGAAGACCTGAGTTCAAATCTGTCCTCAGAGACTTACTATCTGTGTGACTCTGGGCAAGTCATTTAACTCCAATTGACTCCCCAACCAAAACAACAAAAAGTGAATGCATCATGTTGACCATGCTTGTGCCCTAAGAAGACAGATTCATCTTCCTCCCTTCTTTGCAGAAGCAAGAGACTGTAGATGTGGAACATTACATATAATGTCAGATTTGGTTGATATGCTGGTTAGGTTTTTTTTCCACTATATAGTATTGTCTAATTACCCAAAGAAATAAAAAGTGACTTTTCAGAGAATCAGCTAGGGAAAAAATTAATTATACACAAAAGTTTTCATAGATCAGAGATTTAAAGGTTGGAAAGATCCTTAGAAGTAATCCTTTCCACCTCCCTTATTTTACAGTCAGGACTCTAAGGCCCAGGGAAATTAAGCTACCATTCTCAAACCAGAGGAGTAAACAAGCAGCAAAGCGGGGCTTTCAGAAAGGGTATCTTCAAGAACAGCTATGTCAAACACATTTCTCTTATATTTCAGGTCTATAAATGTTACCAACACATAATCTCACTTGATTCTCATAATTATTCTGAGATACATACTTCTAGTTGAGACTTGTGATTTCTTCAGTGTAAGGAAGTCCCAACATTGAAATACTCTCCACTGATACTGACTGGCAACTCATCTGTAAATCATAATCTTAGGGAGTTGCCTGGGCCATGGGGAAGTTAAATTATTTCCCCAGGGTCACACAGCTAGCATGGGTCAGAGGCAGAATTTGAACCCAGATGTTCATACCTCCAAGGCCAACCCCATAATTGCTACATTTTGTTGCCTCTTGCAAGATACTAATGGTGTCATCCTCATCTTTGGGAAAATTAAGGATGAAAGAAGTCAAGTGACTAGCCCATGGTCACACAGCAAACAAATGTCAGAAATGGTTTTTGAACTTAAGTCTGTCCTGATTCCAAGGGTGACTTTCTTTCCCCTACACTATTCCACACTGAAATATGTGGTCCAAAGTATGTCATCTAATTCCTAGAAGCTTATTTGTCATTTTCTACTTTTATAGAGAATGCCTCCCCCATTAGAATATAAACTCCTTATTTAAGGGCAACCTCTTTTAGTCATTTCATATCTTTGTTTCCCCTGTGCAAAGCCCAAGACTTGGCACAATAGATGCTTCATAAGGGCTTACTGTTGGATTGCATGCCATCCTTGACTCTGTGTTTAAATTCTACTATCCGGGGGGGGGGATGGAGCCAAGATGGCGGAGTAAATTCTACTATCCCATCCTTGCTGTTGTTTACAAATTCTACTGCATCTTTATTGAAGATTTATCCTGAAAATACACAGAAACACGTATGCATTCCCAGTGGACAAATGGAAACTTACTCCCAGAAGTTCAATCTTCCTCCATGATAGGAATCATTTAGGATATTGCTGATTCCACCTTGAACCACAGTACCCTGTATGATCACAGAAAAAAATCCAGCCATCTTGATTCCAACTTGGAAAACATGTATCCAGACAACAGCTTTGAATCCACCCTTTGGGGGAAAGAATAATATTTTGTGTTATATCACATAGCATATTATATGTATAATACAGTCCAATATTACATATAACACATGTAACACACAAATGTGTTTATAGATATATGTGATATCACATATACATGTCTATGTGACATTATATCACACAATGTAATGTCCTATCTACTTATAAATATCTTTGATTATATGCCACATGTGTTATATCTAATATTATACATATAATATTATTATAATATGTGCAATGTGTAAATATTATATATGATGTATTATAGCATACATAATAGTATGCTGTATTATGTTATGCTATGTATCATATAGGATTACATGTAATTTGTAGCATATTGTCTTATATTGTAATAACATCATATAAATATGCCCTAATATATGTATTCTGTATAATATAGCATATTATCTAATTTTATACAACATAATAACAATATTGTTTCCTTCCTGGAGTCAGGAAGACCTGAGTTCAAATCTGTTATATTAATAATATTGTTGATTTACATCACATATTAACATTCTCATCACAGGAGCATAGATCTGAGCTGAAAGGAAAATTCTGAAGTCACTCATTCTAGAAATGATGAAACTGAGGCCCAGGGAAGTTATACAGCCTTCCTAAGGTCATACAGGTGGTAAGTAGCCGAGCAAAGATTTTTACCCATGTCCTCTGAGTCCAGAGTGAGGGGGAATCCCATATAACTCTAATTCTTACTAGGGAAAAAATCCAGCATTCTCTCAAGTCTGTGTATAGAAACTTGTAAGTACTTATATCCAGGATTCCTTTTCCCATCGAAAAGAATGGGAATGCTCTCTTCCCACTAGGCATCACCCAAAGTAAACAGAAGAACCAACCTGAGGAAGGAAGATAAGCTGTTTTCCACTACAATATTTCCCTATGGACACCTTCCAGGTTTAGTTAGAGAAGTACAAAACATGGTACTTGCCCAGGACACCTTCAAATGTTACCAAGTTAGTGAGAGTACAGTTATCCCTTCCACATTATGGGGGTTAGGGGAGCAGCGCCCCCATGATCAGGAAATTTACATAAAATTTTTTGGCCCTCTCTTTGTACCAGAGACGAAGTCTGAATTATTATGGTTTAAAAGATAAAATATGTTGATATTATACAATACTACATATATATTTTATGCATTTCTGAGTTTTAAACTTTTTGTGTGTTACCTGCTGGCCGTCACCTGTTGTCTGTGGGTTCTGCAAAATTCCCCCCAAATTCCCAATTAATTTCTTATGCCAACCCACAATATATCGAAACTGCAATAGGGAAAGTCGTGATGTGGAAGGAATAACTGTTTAAGTAATCAGCGAGGCCCTGTGGAAATGGGTGATGGTCATACCATTGAGCTGTAGAAGGTACAGATTACTCCTGTGGTAATGATTGTGCCCCACAAATTGAGACCTGTGGCTGCAGAAAAAAAGCAAGAATAAATGCATCCCCATGAAATCTGTACGTTCCAACTCCTCAAAAATGACATTCCTGACTTCTTCACAAAACAAATGCAGCTTCAGTGGAAAGAGCTTTTAATTTGGATTCAGATGGCTTGGATTCAAATCATGGTTCCACTGCCTGGGGCCTCTGGGAGTATGGCCAAGTCAACTGTAATTTCTTTGGGACGCTCTTCTCTCCTTTGTAAAATGAAGGGGTTCGATTAGAAGACCTTCAAGATTATAACATTGACAACTTGAAAGGACCTGAGAGATCATCTTATCCAAGACCTGAATTTTACAGAAGAGAAAACTGAGACTCGGAAAGGTAAAGTGACTTGCCCACAAGGTCAGATAGTTGGAAATATTTATCAGAGTTGGGATTTGAACCCAGTTTCTTTGACTCCCATGCTTTTTGCAATGTGCCATCTCTAAAATCCCATCCTGAAATCCGATGATCCTGAGCATGAGACAGACTTTGTCCTAATTCTCTAAAAGTCTCTTATCTAAAATAATAATTCAGTTACCTCCTCTGTATGATGATGGAGTTGGGATAAATGGGCTCTAAGCTTTCTGCCTCCTTTACCAATCATATCATCCCACACATTCTCTTTTTTATGTCTGGAATCATCTAAGACTACAGAAGGAGATTATGTTCAGTGAAGCCATCATTTGACATCAAGCCCTTCTGGCAACCACTCATGCATCCATCCCTAGTACTCCAATCCCCTAGTCCTTTTGATAGAATCGAGGCAGAAATCTTGACTATGTTGTTACCTCCAATCAGAGGGCAGATTCTTATCACCTTTCTTGTGGAATAAAATGCTACTAGAAAGCTTCCACTCCCTTGGAACGTATTTAAATAAAGTATTAAAAATAGTTTCTAAAAATGTATCATCCCCCAAGTCCCCACCAAAGAGCATTTCAACCTTTACCCCTCCACCTTTGATTTTGCCCTCCCCCACCTGGGAAAGGAAGGAGGCATGAGGGGCAGCAGCTGACAGCGTGGGCACCACTGGCAATGGGCTTGGGCTCTGGGGCAACTTTTGCCTGGAAGCATCACCCAGGTTCAGCATATCCTGCTTAAGGTAGAGAAGCTGGCCTCTGAACTTGGGTAAGCATGCTCTTCTTAAAATTTTAGTTTTAACTGTTAATGATGAGACGTTGACTCTCTGTGCAAAGTAACTTAGAAACGCATTTGACAAAACTGAAGTCACCTGATTGGTAATGGGTTTGTTTTAGAAAAGTTTAAAATTGGTGAACTTTCTGTATCAGTTATGTCAAGCAACTTTTCATAATTTGGTTACCACTAAAATAGTTTGCCTATTGTTGATTATTGTTTTAATGTGTAAACTAGCTGAAAAGCTTGTTTGGGTTATGTATGGCTTGCTGAGAATTTGCAAGTAATAGAAATCTCTAATGATTAGCTTTTTACACCAGGACAAATTTAATTTTGAGATGCAAATCCTGGAAAAGTTTTTCCTAACCTGTGATTAGTAAAACTTGCTGTGTGAGGTAAAAGCTCACAGGATTTTATTTTGAGTTGCCTGATGGGTCATAATCCATCGATAATCAATAATCCACCATCTGAGAGAAATGCTATAAGCTACTCAGAGAAAGTGATACTGGTGGGAAGTCAGCATTGGGAAAAGCTGAGAGGACAATTTTAGCCTCAGTCTAAGACGGGATCCTCCTGGCTCCATTTCCCCATTATGTTCCTGTGAAAAGGAATGTTACCCATCTGGCTATTCCTGAGTCTGGCTATGAGATGGCTTTGATGGTTGTGTGGTTGGAAAACTGAGTTTTCCAAACAGAGCTAAGGATGTTTTATCCTGTCATTTGAAACCTGCAGTCTTTTCTGTCAGATTTGTGTCTTCCAGACTATAGGCCATTCACCTACAGTTGGTAGCAAACAGCAGGTACCAGCCAATGTCTATTGTTCCTTGGATGCAGCCCGTGCTCAGTTCCAGTCAATCTCCTCTTTGGGACTTCGAGACAGGGAAAGCTCTATGCCCTTTGCCAGCAGGAAGCAGTTTCAGAAGACGAGACTTTGCCCCTTACCCCAAAAGAATTTGGGTCCCATTTGTTTGAGGGGGGAATGATGAGGATGGGATCTAGACCCCAAAAAGGAAAGACCCTGGACTTTCCCACATGGCCAAATCTCTGGCATTCTCCTGAGGCTATAATTCTGAACCTCCCTGTGGCCCCAGGCCACTTCCCACCCTTAATCCCATCTAGGCTCCATTCTCCCCTGGCCACCCCAGGGGTTCTATTACCTCCAAGACTACTTGGCCACACCTAGATCCCTCCCATAGTCTTTCTGTATGTAAGGTCCATCTTGTCTCCATTAAGATGCTGATATTCTTAAAATCTAGCCACTGATCAGATTCTTATAATCTAGCAACTGCTTACTTATGTTCAGACTCCTTAAGAGTCTGCCCAATATGATGAATGTTCTAATAAACCTTGTCTTTGACTGAAAAAAAAAAGAAAGAAAAAAGAAAGGAACTAGACTCTTAGCCTTCCTAAGTCACAAGGTATAAAAGTGTTTTTCTGTAGCCAAAATTCACCTTTCATAATCTCCCACCAAACCCTCTTAGCCCCCTAATTCAGTGAGTTGGGTAATAATGAGAAAAGAGACCACATATCTTAACAAATCAAAGTTAGTGCTCTTAGAATTAGATTTAAACTAAAATTAAACCTAAATTAAACCATTACTTCTAATGACTAGAGATTCATGAAAAGTGAAATTAAGTCACTATTGTCACTTCCTAACAATGTTACAGAGTATTCCAAGCATTCTATATAGAATGGCATTTTTAGATACACAAAATTCCATTCTTAGTGAATCCAAAGTACTTCTGAAACATCTAATGAATAGTATTATTATGTCTATTATAAAAATCAGGAAATTTCAAGGTCATTTCTAGCAGTGATTCCAACATGTTCTATCAATGCCAAGTGATGAACATCACTGTATCTATTACTGAGATCAGCCCAGAGACAAAGGCTTTGTTTTATTATTCAGCAAAGAGCAGAATGGTAGTGTTTCAAATATGAAGTCCACTAGCTTGTTTTATTTCAGAATTTATTTTCATGAGATTCTTAAATATATGATCTTTTAGATTCTTCTGCAAAATGGGAGTGGGGTTGTGTACTAGATGACCTTTGATGTCTCTTCCAGCTTCAAATGTATTATCTTAGGATCTAGGGCCAGTATAGCCTCTTTGAGCCTCAATTTACTCATCTTTAAAATGGGGAGATTAGATGAAGTATAAATCTATCATTCTATGACCCTGTAATCTCAAAGGACATTTTACCCCCAGGACCAGTCATTTTGTTGTACCCTGAATTATCTCTTCCCTCTGAAAGTTCAATCTTCATCCCTGAATGTAACCTTTGGAAGTACCCTCTCCCCCTCTGGCCCCTCCTTCCAGTTGGCTGGTTTCTCCCAGTGCCCCCATTTTAAGGAAGAGAAAACTCAAGCCATTCATCCTTTTTGTCCTATGCAGGCAGTACTCCAGACTCTCCTCCAGGAATTTCTCTACAATATTCTCACTCCAGGGGCAGCTGGGTGGTGCCATAGTGTCAGGCCTGGAGTCAGGAAGACTCATCTTCCTGAGTTCAAATCCAACCTCAGACACTAACTAGTTGGGTGACCATGGGCAAGTCACTTAACCCTGTTTGCCTCTGCTCCTTCATCTATAAAATAAGCTGGAGAAGGAAATGGCAAGCCACTCCAGTATCTTTGCCGAGAAAACCCCAAGTGTGGTCATGAAGGGTTGGCCATGACTGAACAACAATAAAGGTTCTTTCTAGTACCACATCTATGAGATTTTGATCTTTTTTCTGGGATCCTATAAACCCATGAAGGTCACCAAAAGCTCGCTTCCATCACGGTGCTATATTAGCCCATCCCCCCAACCCCAAGAGATAATTGGACTTATCCAAAAATGACCACGAATAACACTGTTTACAGTGCAAAGATTTACCTTGATTCATAGCAAGTGCCGGAGCATAAATGACAACTCCCATGTACAGAACCTAGAAAAGAAAAATGAGGGCATGAAATGTGAACATAAAATTATCAAATACAAAAGAACTTTTTAATGACAATCCACTTAGCATTCAAATCCCCCAGTCTCTCTCTTCCTACTATTGCACTATATTTTGGATGGGGAGCGAAGAGTTCCATCTCTTCCCAATCCTTCATGTTCTCTGGCATATCTGGTTCTATTTCCAGTACAACTGGGGTCCCTGCATAAACCCAATAATTCATCTGTGTGTTTGATGGATTTTATATTTAATAATAATAATAGGTAACATTTAAAAAGAACTTTAAGGTTTGCAAAATGCCATACCTATCTATCCCATTTAATTCTCACTATAAGCCTTTAAAGTATAGGCAATTATCATCCCCATTTTACAGATGAGGGCAGCTAGGTGGTGCAGTGGATAGAGCGCTGGGCCTGGAGTTGGGAGGACTGGAGTTCAAATCAGACATTTACTGTGTGACCCCAGGCAACCTTGTTTGCCTATAAACAGCTCTGTAAAATGAGCTGGAGAAGAAAATGGCAAACTGCTCCAGTATCTTTGCCAAGAAAATCCTAAATGGGGTCACATGACTGAGCAATGACATTAATAAGACCTTTTCCACCCTCAGTCACTGGAGGTCTTCAATCACTGGAGGTCTTCAGTCACTGGAGGTCTTCAATCACTGGAGGTCTTCAATCACTGGAGGTCTTCACTTGCGGAGACCAGATAAGGGAGGATATTGTAAAGGAGACGTCTCATTGGACTAGATGGCCACCTAAAGTTCTTCCAGCTCTAGAACGCTGTGTTCCAATGCTCTTCTCTTTTTATTTTTTTTGATTTTGTAGGACTTCTTATACATATTTCTGGAGAATCTTCATGTTTCTCTTTAGGTCAACATAATTTGCAGTTATTAGAGTAAATCATAAAGATTTTTTAAAAATTCTTAAAGCATCTAGGTATCATGGTGGATAGAGCACTGAGACTGGAGTCAGGAAGACCTAAGTTCAAATCCAACCTCAGAGACTTACTAGGTGTGTGACCTTGGGCAAGTCACTTAACCGTTGTCTGCCTCAGTTTCCTCAACTGTAAAATGAGGATAATAATAGTACCTACCTTCCAAAGTTATTGTGACAATAAAAATGAGACAGCACAGTGCCTGGCACTTAATAAACACTTAGTCCCTTCTTCTATGTCTTTCCTTTTTGACACTCAGTTCTCACCCTCTCATTCCAACAGAGCTCAGAGCACTGCTCTGGAGACCTGAGGTTCAAAACCCAATTCTGGTCACTAACTCTCTGAGCATCAGCTTCCTCATCTGTAAAATGGGGGTAACAATAAAGGGGTCAATGGGGACAATGACAGTGATAAGACTAATTCTTTAAAGTGAGAGACAACTTGGGAAGCAGCACAGTGTCACATAGAAGAGTACTGGGTTTAGAGAGTGTGGTCCTGAGTTCAAATCCTAACTTTGGGCACATTATTAAGTCTCTTTGAAACTGTTTCATTAAGTGTATAGTGAAAAGGTTGGGGGGCAGCTAGGTGGCACAGTGGATAGAGCACCAGCCCTGAAGTCAGGAGGATCTGAGCTCAAATCTGGCCTCAGACCAAACACTTGATACTTACTAGCTGTGTGACCCTGGGCAAGTCATTTAACCCCAATCGCCTTAAAAAAAAAGGTTGGACTAACTGACCTTTAAAGTCATTTGCAGCTCTAAAATTTAGGATTCTATAATTTTTCTGCAGTACAAAAGAGTCAGGAAGATGTGAGTTCAAATTATGACTCTGACAGTAGCCGTGGGAGCTAGCTACTTAACATCTCCATGCCTAGTGTGAAAATATATTTTGCATGATTTCACATATATAATTGATATATTGCTTATCTCCTCAATGGGTGTGGAAGGGACTGGAAACAGGGAGAGAATTTGGAACTCAAAACTTATGAAAATTAATATTAAAACAAATTTTTAAAAATAAACATTCTCATACCTCAGGCAACTCCTTGAAGTCAAAGGACCTGAGTTCAGATTCTAACACATTAATTTACTACTGGTATGGCCTTGGGCAAGTTGCTTAGCCTTTCTGAGTCTCAGTTTCCCAATCTGTAAAATGATGAGCTAGATGGTCTCAAATGTTCCTTCTAGCTCAAAATCTATAATCATATTGTGATGCTTAAGGCTTATTTTTGAAGCCACAATTGCCAACTGAATCAGGGGATAGGGCCTGTTCCCACAATTGGAGTCCCCCATTCAGAAGACCAGATCCCCTGTACACTCACAGCCTCCCTATATTTACCATCCTTTGTATAGTTATAGCCTATGTGTCTTCATAGGGTAGTTAGGAGGAAAATCCTTTGTAAGCTCTAGGGAGGTAGGAGTTATTAGTACTTACTGAGCATTTTGGGGGGGGGGGTTTGAGGCAGTAGGGGATAGGTGACCTGCCCAGAGTCACACAGCTAGGAAGTGTCATGGATCTGAGGCTGGATTTGAACTAAGTCCTCCTGACTCCAGGGTCGGTGCTTTATCCACTTTGCCACCTAGCCGTGCCTTTACTGAGCATTTTCTTTTTTTTTTCTTTCTTTCTTTCTGTTTTTTTTTGTGAGGCAATTGGGGTTAAGTGACTTGGCCAGAGTCACACAGCTGGTGAGTGTTATGTGTCTGATTCTGGATTTGAACTCAGGTCCTCCTGACTCCAGGTCCAGTGCTCTATCCACTGCACCACCTAGCCACCCCTTTACTGAGTTTTCAATGAATACCTTTGTCATCTGAATTACATTTGTGGAGTCATCATGTTTAATTTAGAAAATTAAAAATTAATAGCTATTGCCCAAAGCAAGTAAATTGTGCAGCTTGTGCAGATGAGAAATTCAATTTATTCTAAGTCATCCTGTCATTTCAGGAAGCTAAGCTCCCAGGATCTCTACCCTCAGGACTCTGCAATGGCGAAAACTGGTTCATCCTCTTCCTGCTTCCAGCTCTCTCCTTTTAATTCCTCCATTTTTCACTTACACATTCTTGATAAACAAAGCGGCCAGTTACTAGAAACACTGCCAAAACGTTTTAGACAACAAAAGCGGGTGGGGTCGGGACACACTGGAGAACCACTTACCGTTTGAAGGATAAACAGAGCGGTTCCACAGAGGCGGATGCGTTTGTTAAAACGAAGCTCTAGATACTTTCAAAGATCAAAATGAGGGTAGAATGGTTAGTATATATGACCCACCCTACCCACATTATTACAGATCTGGAGCTGGAAGGGACCCCAGAGGTCGAGTCTAACCTTGTCATTTTAAAATTTGGAAACTGAGGCTCAGAGAAATTCAGTGACTCATCCAAGGTCACACACTAGTGGCAGAGCCAGGATTCTTTTGATCGACCAGTCCTTCTTCTGGCTCCGCAGTCAGATAGTTGCCTCACATTCCCCCAGGCATCAACAGTGTCTACCAAGAGGCCCATCCTTCACTCTGCTGGAACATTCTCTTAGATGCTCAGGCAAACCTGTCTAAACTTGTAGAAAAGACTCGGGCTACAACATAGCAACCACTTGGGGAATGATCAAAATTCTCCAGCTCATTTTAAAAAAAAATACTACTATTCAATTCAAAGAATTCCAACAAGTATTTAATGTTAAGCTTCTACTCTGTGCAAGGTTTTATACAAGATGCTGGGAGGACAAAGATAAGAATGAAAACAGTTTCTGCCTTTAAAGGAACTGAACAGGGCAGCTAGATGGGACAGTGGCTAGAGCACCGTCATGGAAGTCAGTAGGACCTGCATTCAAATCCAACCTCCCACACGTACTAGCTGTGTGACTCCAGGCAAGTCACTTACCCCCTCCAAAAGGAACTTAACATTCTGCAGAAGAATCCAACAATTACTTGTTTGTTTACCTAGAGAGAAGCCAGCAGGAATGCGCAAAGCAAAGCGCTCTAGATTTGGAATCTTAGGCCTTATGCTTGGACCTGGACTCTGCCTTTGGGTGACCTAGTCAAGTCACTTAACCTTTTCTAGAGCAGTTTCCTCGCGTGTGCCTTGAAGAGAGTTGGACTCTGGGTCTCTGTTAGAGGGATACCCTCTAATACCACTTCCTGCTCTAAATCTAAAAATTCAGTTTGATAAAATTTCTTCCCCACTTTCCTTAAACCCCGAAAGGCGGCGGGCAGTGATACCTCCTTACCTCGTAGGTGCTGGTAATTCCCAGTTTGTAGAAGACTGGAAGGAAGACTTCCGAGGTGATGACGACCATGATGATATAGGAGAACCCATACATGGAGAATATGGCCCCGAAGCGATAGATCTCGGAGGGGATACCCAAGATTGTGATGGCGGACATGAAACTGGAAGTGAGGGACAGTGCCACGGGGAGCGCCGTCATCTTCCGGCCGCCCATCAGAAAGTCCTTCTGGGTCTGGCCGCCACGGCAGAAGGCATAATAAACGCCTATGGCTGCGGAGATGGACAGCATTCCCGCGAACACCAAGTAGTCCCACACCACGAAGGTCCTGGTTAGCTGCTGTGCGCCCATGGCTGCACTGCGCAAACTTTCTTCTCCCCAAACACCGTCGAGGGGAGCTGCCTGCTTAGGGCGCTGCTTTGCTCCGGGGACTGTGGCTGTCCGTGCCAGGCAGGGCTGGAGTCCTGACCTCCCGTCGGACTGTCTCTGCCAGACCGGTCACTCCAAGTTATCTCAGGCTCCAGGAGCGCCGCGCTTGGGACTGCCCCAAGCCCCGAGGGCAGATGTTGGATAGCGCGGGCTCTGCTTGGGGGTTGGGATGAGTGTTGCTGAGGCTCCTGCTGAATCATGGAGGGGAGCGATCCTCTCTGAAAGACGCCTGGAAGGGGAGAAACCTGTAAGAGCGCGGAGCGGGGAGGAGACCGGGGTCTGTGCTAAATTGCTAGGATCTCTAGCTCAGCTGAGGCGGCCTTCTCTGATTTGCTTGCTTTGCAAGTTGACGGAGGTGGGAGATGGGAGCAGCCTGAGACTTGAATGGCCAAAGTCAGCTTGGTGGCCAGGGTAAGGAGTCGAGCGTATTTGAACCCTGACCCAGCACAAAGTTTTGGCCACCCCAATAGGGAAGGACCATGCAAATGTAAAAGAGAGGGAGAGCCCAGGGAAGGTGGGTCCAAATCTTATCTCTGTAATTCCCTGCTTTATAGGAAGATAAACCCCACTTAGCTCTCCCAAATCATGGCTATAATCCCCAGTTCAGGGGTGCTGCTTAGCCTCAATTTACCCTTGAATAATGTGCATCTCAAATACAATTAAATTGACCAAGAAATCAGGTTACACACAACTTGTCGGAAACTCATCCAGTCTTGAGTGAGGTTAAATCCTATCTGACAAACTTTAAATTCTGGGCATTATGACTGAGATCCTACTGGGTGTCTCTGGAACAGCGACTTGGGAATATCCCCGTCAGACAAACTTAGGAAACAGAAAGTAGAGGGAATTTCAGAGGGCTCTTGTGCAACAGGCTGGAAAAAACACCGTTTTTCCAGGACAGAACTTTTCCAATCACAGGAAGGTAATTTAGGACAATTATGAGGCACCACTTCACGAACTTTAACCTGGGGTTAGGGAGTAGGAAGAAGGGGACAGAGACGATAAAGATAAACCCAACACTGATAGGGTTTGAAGAAAAACAATTCCACTCATTCCTGGCTCCTGGCAGTGCTGTCAGGAGCATTCTTTCTGGAAGGCAATCTGGCCTAGGAATCAAGATCAAGCCCTGTAATAATCATACCCTATGACTTGGAATTCCCCAGTTGGGGAATATTCCCCAAGAGAATAAGGTAACTGGCTTTTGTACTGTCTTGCTGGCCTGTCTTTGCTTTCCACAATGCTGCACTTTGCAAGCTCTTAATAAATGTTCTTTCATTCATTCATATTGTTCATTTAAAATCACAAAATCTTTTATATGCATCATCTCATTCCACTCTGGAAACAGCCTTGTGGGATAGGTGAGCACTTTGGGTATTATCATCCCATTTTACAGACAATCATAGAGTTTTAGCAGAATAACAATAACTAAAATTTAAATAGCACATTAAGGTTTGCAAAGTGCTTTACAAATATCTCATTTGATTATCACACAATGCTGGGAGGTAGGTACTATTATTATCCTTATTTTACAGATAAGAAAACTGAGGCTTGGAGAGGTTAAGTGACTTTCCTAGAGTCACACAAGTAATAAGTGTGACAGTTCAAAATCAGGATTTAAACTCTGGTCTTCCTAACTCCAGCTACAATACTCCATCCACTGCACCACTTAGCTGCCTCACTCTAGAGAAAGACGGCGCCTCAGAGACTGTACTGCAACACCCTCACTTTACAAATGAGGAAACTGAGACCCAGGAAGGTAGATTTGGAGTTGAAAGGAACCTGAGAGGCGGTCTAGTTTGACCCTTTCGTTTTATAAGTAAGGGAATCCAAGGTATAGGGAGGTAAAATCATGTGTCCAAGGTGACAGAAATAGTATTAGAGGTAAGTTTTGAACCCAGATCTTAACTCCAGAGCCAATAATAGGTTTTCAAAGTGATGTTTGTATGTGTATATATGTATAGAGGAGGAGGAGGAGAACAACAACAAAAAGGAGGAGAGAAAGCAGAAGGAGAGAGAGAAGAAGGGGAGGAGGAAAAGAGGGAGAAGGGGAGTTTCATTTGATCCTCACAACAACCCACTGCACTAGGTGCTATTATTATCCCTGTTTTACAAATGAGGAAACTGAGGCACAGAAAGTTAAGTGACTTGTCCAATGTTACTCAACTAGTAAATGTCTGAGATTGGATTTGAACTGAGGGCTTTCTGACACCAAAGTCTAGCGCTGGCATATCCAAGATAGCACATTGCTTTACAGAAATAACTTAGGGGGCAGCTAGGTGTCAAAGTGGATAGAGCACTGGCCCTGGAGTCAGGAGGACCTGAGTTCAAATCCAGCCTCAGGCACATAACACTAGCTATGTGATCCTGGACAAGCCACTTAACCCCAATTGCCTCACCAAAAACAAAAAAAAAAAACCCCAACAACAAAAATAAACAAAATAAATAACTTAGAAGAAAAAAAAACCACAGTTGTATATGGATCATTTTTTCCTATGGCTAGGATGTAAATGTAATAAATAGAAAAAGTAAAGAATGAAATAACCTCAATACCTAACAACTCATTGTCTTTTCATTTTTTATTTTTTCACCAGGATGCATTCCTATGGGGAATGGATATGGAAAACCAATAAGGATTTTGTGAATCCACAAGTTGTTAAAGAAAAAGTCATTTTAATAATCCTTAAGATAGCATTGCCAGCCATTACCTATCAAACAACAGACATTTATTAAGCACCTATACTATGTATCTGGCACTGTGCCAGGTGCTGGGTACACAAAAAGAGACAAAAGACAGTCCCTGTCCTCAAGGAGCTGACAGTCTGATGTGGAAGACAACAAAGAAAATATATACAGAATAAATTATCAATTTATTGATAAAAATCTATTAACAGAGGCAAAGTGTGAGAATTAAGAGGCTTCCTATGGAAGATGGGATTTTAGTTGGGATTTACAGTAATCCGGGGAAGTCAATAGGTGTAGTTGAGGAGGGAGAGCACTCCAGTTATGGGAGACAGCCAGAGAAAATGCCCAGAGTCTGGAGATGGAGTGTCTTGTTCACGTGTGAGAGTCAGGTAAAGGTTAAATTTCCACAGAGAAAGAGAATAATGCAGAGATTTAAAGAACAAAGGTCCCAGGAAGTGCTACACTGTAGGTGGGCTGGGCTTGACCAATAGGAAGTAAGTGGATTGTTCCAAGAAGACCCCAAAATCAAGATAAGGGTCAAGCCAGCTCAGACCAGTTGGGGTCAACCTAAGGACACCTGAAAAGTGCTAGTGTGCCTGCTTAATGAACTTCATTACTATTATCTGACACACCCTGCATAAAATTAGAGCCTCATTAACGAGTCATGGGATGTATGACCAAGGGAGGGGGAACATACTTGAGCATATCAAGGGGAAACATGTAAGGAAAAGTGTAACCTGGGAAGGGATGGACCAATCCCAGCCTGGGAGGTTTCGCACTGAATCCAACTGCATAAAAGCATGCTTGCCCTTGCACTCAGGGCCCACCCCTGAAGAGGGGTGGAGCCCGCTTCTGGCCAGAAACGTCTAAATCCTCTGGACTTTCTTTATAATAAATTTTCTTGATACTAAATTTTTGGTGTCAAGCCTATTTCTAACACAGAGAACAGCAAGGTCGGTATCACTGGATCAAAGATTACCTGGTAGGAAGTAAGGTGTGGGGAGGCTGGATTCTTTCTCAATTTTAGGTTGTAGTAAGATAGCTATCCCACTCAGTTTATTAGTACCAGGAACCAGTTCTCTCTGGATTACCTTACAAAATGCAGCTAGTGATATCAAAGTAAAGACCAGTGTGATCATCAGTGGTATCAATTTGTACATCAACCTTTACAAGTGTTTTGTCTACCATCCATGCACACTTAATAAATGACATCTTCAGGAATACATTTATGGTCAGGGAATGTTTACTGTTCTTTAAGAAAGGGCAAATGTAATGTATGCAGAGAAGCATGGGAATATTTACATGAAATATGCAAAGTGAGTTAAACAGAACTAAGAAAATGATATACACAATGACTACATCAACGGAAATGGCAAGAACAACTACAAAATAATCAAAAGTAAATTTGGCAAAATTACAAAGAGTAAGCATTGACCTCAAAGAAGAAATATGAGAAGACAATTCCACAGAGTGCTACATTTGCATAGATTTCCAAATGTTTTGGATATATTGATTAGTTGTGCTAATTTTTTTTCTTCTTTTGCTTATAAAAAATCCTTTGTTATGTGGGATAGCTCTCTAGGAGGAGGAAGAGGAGAAGAATTATGGGGGAAATTTAGGCAATGTAAAAACAATGATTTCAACAGAAAACGTTTTTTAATGCTTAACTAAAAATAGACACTTGTAGCCACTGAAGCTAGATGTGACCACACGGGTAGCTGGCCATTTTAAAATTTCGGTTACAATAGATCACACACTCCCTATTAAATTTTTCACGGTTCCTTCCAGAAAACCACTCATCATGAATGAATGTACAATTGCTTTGCCCTAGAAATGACAGACTTTTGTAAAGGCACAGTCCCAGCTGGAAGTGGCACATTCTCTTCTTTGGTCAGGGAAGAGATTACTAGCATAATTATCCTGTTCTTTTGCCTCAAACTCTGGAGAAGCAAAGGCTGCTGCGGGATACACAAAACTCAATATTGAAGATACTGCTTTCAGAATGGTTAACATCGATTTGGTTACAAAAGCTTCAGCAGGTGTGACTGCTTTGGAGTCTGCTTTGGCAGTAGTGTAAACTGCAACTCATCCTAAAAACACATCGTCGTCATCAGCATCATTCTATATCAAGAACACATTCATTACTGTAGCATTTAATCACTGGAATAAAATCATCTTGCTTGTTAACAAAAGGAAAACACCCAACGATTTTTTGTCTCTCTTTGTCTTTGGTTTTGATCTCTAACATTATGTGCCTGGTAGACAAAGCAAGTACTCTTAATATTATTGGGCTATTAAATAAAAATTCTAGACCATAGCAATACCACCAATTAATCCCAACATCCCCACACCATGCCTCTGCTCATGCACAATACACCAACATTGGAGCAAAGTAAGGAAGAATTTCTTAAGGAACAAATTAGCTTCAGCTAGCTAGGTTTCTAGGCTGGATCACTGAAGCTGAGGAAGAAGTAAAATAAATAACTATTCCTCCAGAGGGCTTAAGACTACAAATCTTGGCTCTGAATCAGCCAGGATTTCCTTTTTCTAAATTTCCTGGTCATTGATAAGAGGATTTTACTTTGGAAAAATCCTTCTGCACAGGCTTTAAAAGCGAGATATCAAAGATTGCTCAGTTTTATTTCACTCTCCTTTAACTCTGGAATGTGCTGGTAAATGTTTAACAACTGGCTTTCGGAGGGGGGGGGGGATGTACCTCTATATTATTAACATTATCTCCATCTCTAGTGTAACAACCAGCAAAACAGTAAGTCAAGTCCTGATTTGTAGCCTTTTCCAGTTTCCATGATGTAAATGAGTATATAGAAAATTGAACAATTAACTCATGAGCCTGTTCAGCTGGCACCAGCACAATCCCTCAGGCATTTCTCTCCTTCCAGATCGTGTTTCAGATTGCATTTTCAGCTTCAGTTTCCTTTTTTCTCCTCCAAATGTGTCTTTTTACAAATTAGCATCGTTTTCTTCTGCATCTCAAACCCATTGTACAGCTTGGCTACTGGATGACGAAGGTGAAACTTGGAAGTTTGTTGCCAGTTTCTCTTAAACCATTCCCAATTTGGTTTCTTACTTAAGACCTTAAAGGTCTGATAGTCTGCCCTTATTTCTTCTTGGTTGCTTTGCAGGGCCAGCAAATTCGGCCAGATCATTCAGGTCAGACAAACAAAACTCTTCACTTAAAAGGAAATATTATCTTCTTAAAAGGTATTTGCCTCTCCCCACCCCAAGCAACTCCTTCCCTCAAGGCCCTTTAAAGTAAGTCTTCCCACCAGCTTGAAGAGCTGAGAAAAGTTAAGGCAAATACCTTCAGGGTGAAGTACTCTGAAAGTTACAAAACGGATTTAAAGTTCTTCCTTGCTTCCTTCCTCTTTCTTGCTTGCTTGCTTGCTTTTTTACTTGCTTTCACGCATCCTTGCTTTCTTCACTTTGGGAGTCACTGGAGAGAAAAACTTTCAAATTGTCTTCAGTTCTGGTAAGGGTTAAGC